TCGGCGTGTCCGGGACCCGGCTAGTGCGTGGCAGGGGCGGGGTTCGTGGCGCCCCACGGAGCCAAACCTCCTCCTCCTCCTCCTCCTCCTGCTGCTCCTCCTCCTGCTCCTCCTCCTCCTCCTCCTCCTCCTCTCCTATTCCCACTCCTTCTCCTCCTCCTCTTCCTTCTCCTCCTCCTCGTCCTCGTCGTCCTCCTCCTCCTCCTCCTCCTCCTCCTCCTCCTCATCCTCCTCCTGAGGGGCCGTGCCTGCCAGGGCGAGCAGCCATTGATCGGCATATCGCTTGGCGTATTGCTTGGCATGTCGCTTGGCGCTGCTTGGCACCATGTGGCATTGCGTGGCACTGCTTGGCACTGCTGTGCGTTGCAGGGCATCGCTGTGCACGTCTCGGCGTCCCTTGGCATGGTGCAGCGCCGCGTGGCGAGGCGGCAAGGAGCCAGCGGCAAGAGGAACCGAGGAGCCACGACCGAGGAGGCAAGGCACCAGGACCGGTGGGCCCGGGAACCAAGGCCACGTGGACCAGCAACGAGGGCCCAAGGAGCCACGACCAGATGACCAAGGAACCACGACCAAGAGAAGGGAACCAAGACCAACGGACCTCGGATCCGAGACCACGGAGCCAAGGAACCAAGGAACCCACGGAATCAAGACTGAGGGATCGAGGAGCCACGGGAGCAAGGGACAACGGAACCGAGGGACCAGGGGCAAGGCACCCAGGAATGGAGGAGCCAAGACCAAAGAACGAAAGACCAGAGACGAAAGGACCAAGGGGCCAAGAGTACGGAGCCGCGGAGCCAAGACCAAGGGGCCAGGGAACCAAGACCACGGAACCGAGGAGCCGAGGAACCAAGACCGAGGAACAAAATAACGAATCACTAGGAACCAAGAAACCCTTACCAAAGAACCGAGGAACCAATAGCAAGGAAGCAGTCATCCAAGACCGCGGAACCAAGGAACCAACACCAAGGAACCAAGGAAGCAAGAGCAATTTACCAAAGAACCAGGGAAACCCAGGCAAGGCCTTGTTAGGAAGCAGAACCAAGTAAGGAAACATAACCAAGGAACCCTGGGGAACCGTGTCCTGAGGAAACGAGGCCGAGTACCCCCCTACGCGACCGCGTCCGACACCCACCAGCTTAGTCGCAAACGAATGCGAACACCCAAGGCAAAATCTAATTGAGGGAAAAGTGACAAAAAATGAGGAGGGGCAGTCGTCAACCCTGATCTCGGAATAGGCCCGAGCAGACCCAATCATCGAACACCAAGGTCTTTCCAGAGCTCGCGCGGGATGGCTGGAACCAGCCCGAGCAGCTCCCCTACATTGGCCAATGTTGGGCGCTTCGGGCAGCTTTTTGTAGGCACTTGGGGGCACGCTGGTGGTGCTTCGCGAGCATTTATCGCTCTCCTGGCCTTATTAAGTCGGGCCTGTCCCTCTACAGGGGGACTATTCAAAAATTGTCACAAAACAGAAAGAAGTCTGGGGACGAATGTTTGAGCATTTTTTTGCCATTTTGGGGCATTGTTCCAGTATTTAAAATTTTTCGTCCAGGATCCCCCTGCTGTAGGGAGACATGCCCGACTTAATATTGGCCCCTCCTGGAGGCCCTCGGGGTGCCCCCTGGGCCGATCCGGGAGGCAGTCGATCAAGCAGCGACGCCAGAGCCTGGAAGAGTCGCCTCGGGGACCCCGCTTCTGGGGCGCCCTCGGGCTGCTGCTGGTGGCCGAAAGTATCACCACAAAAAGTCTTTTTCAGTGATATATTTTCCACTGCAAAACACTTTTCCTTAAACAAACTCATTTCTAGCAAAATCGCAAGTCAATATACATTTGCTTCGTTGTCGTCCATTCCAACTTTCATTTCAATTCAGTTTTGCGCCTCTTGGGCCCCTCCTCGGGCCTCCCTTGGGCCTCCCTTGGGCACTCTTGGGGCCGTCTGTCGGCGGAATTGCCACATCTTTTTGCAAGAAGGCGACGCGCAGGTTAGACGGCGCAGCGTTCCAGAAGCAGTTTGGACTCGGGGGCATCCCTGGAAGTCGCCGCGGTCGTCCCCTCAGCTCTTCGAGCCCCTTGAAGGTATGATCGAGACCACCTTGAACCTTGGACTATCTTGCTTAACAGCCTGAAGCATATCCTTGTCCTTCTGTTTGGCATCATCCTACCCCGGTGCTTCAGAAGGCCCTGCATTTCTGAGGGCACATCCCTGAGATTGTCGTCCCCTTAGGCTTTCCGATCTTAGGGGCAGGGATCAGGTCGATGCTTCTTGCACGCACCATCTTCGCGCCCGCCGCCGTCCATCGTTGGCCACGTTGGAGCTGCCTGGGGCCTCCGCGGGTCATTTCCTCGCCGAGGGCCCGTCCAGTCCCTGGGGAGCGACCTCCCCCAACAGCACGGGCCAGCCCCCTGTAGGTGGTCGCTTTGCGCCACGGGATCGGCGTGCCCTGGCCTCGAGACGGCCCAGGTCGCCTCGAAGACGGTCCTACGGCAGAGGGAAACAACTGGTGGACTCTCCCCCCTTCCCCCAAACTCAAAGCTGGCACGCGCGGGTAGGACTGCGGTCGAAGTGCAATTCATTCAATCCACCGCCGACGTTAATCATTGGGGGGTGTCGGTAGCAAATCGTGATCCAAACAGGGGGTGCACACGTGGGAGTTCCGACTTTGCCTCTTGCGTGAAATTGAGCGGGTGTGCCAGGGCTTCGCCCGGTGGCGCCCGCGGGTGCCCCTTTGGGCTTCTCGTGTTGGTTGGCTCCTCACGCGGTTTTCGGCTGGCATTGAGTCGGGCCTGTCCTTCTACCGGGGGATATTCCAAAATAATCAAAAAATAGTCTGGGGACGATTTTGTCAAAGCATATGTTTTGACAATTTTGAAATTTGTTGAGTTTTTCATATTTTTTCGAAAATCCCCCTGTAGGGGGACATGCCCGACTTAACATATGCGTGATCGCGAACGGCCAAGAAGGCGATGCGTCTTTACCCACCAGGGGCCGCCGGAAGTCCGGACCCCTTCCCTGGGGCCCTTTTTTTCTAGGGCATTTCTGGGGTATTTTTAATTGTTCGTCCAAAGTGGTAGGAAAAATCCAAAAATAGTCCCCATACTATTTTTGGACATGTTTGGAATTATTTCTGGGGTATGTTTAGTTTTTCGTCCAAACTCCGCCCTGTAGGGGGGCAGGCCCGACTTCAGGCTGGTAGTGGGCGCCTCGTGGGCGCGCCTCGTGGGCGCCCCGCTCGCGGGGCGGGGCGCTCCGGGCGTTCGGATTCGCCCGAGGCGGGAATCTATACGTGACTTGGGTCGGGCCCGTCCCTTCTCCAGGAGGAATATCCAAGAATAGTCCAAAAACAGTGCAGGAACTATTTTGGGAGTATTCTTTTTATCATTCAGACTCAGGTCGGGCCCGTCCCTTCTACAGGAGGAATATGCAAGAACAGTCCAAAAATAGTCCAGGGACTTTTGACATCGTTCAGGAGTATTTTCTGGCGCGTTCTTTTTATTTTTCGTCGAGAATCTCCCCGTAGGGGGACACGCCCGGCTTAACACACGACCACCGCCTGGAGGATCACAGTGTTCGGGGACCTCGGCAGGCGGTGGATGTGGCCAGATTCGGGCCCCCCCGGGGGCCAAATTATGCGCATGTCCACTATCCACGGCCCGCTGGGGCACCAGGACGCCGGTTCCCAGGCGATGGATCTGGGCAGGTCCCCGCCTCGCCTCTTGGGCGGCCGTCAGCGCCTCGTGGGCGCCTCGTGTGTTCGCTGGGTGGTCCATGTTTTTTCGGTGGCTTGGCATCGCTCGGAGGTGTGCATTGTTTCTTCGGCGAGGACCATCGAGGAGCATCCTTGATCATTTGGCGAAGAAGCCACGCACGAAACCGAAAAAACACAGGGAATGGACGTCCGAGCGATGGCCAGGTGGGTGGGCGCCTCGTGGGGCGGCACCTCGTCGGGGCCTCGTGCCGGCGGGAGGTCCCGGAGAGGTTCCCCCTGGATGCGCGCCTCGTGGGCGCCCCTGTGCGCTGGCTGGGTGCTCTGGGTGTTCCCTCTCGTTCGCTGGCCGCGGGAGACTCGTGGGGGCGCATGGTGCGCTGCACCAGATGGGCTGCACCGCACAGACACCGCCACATCGTTTGCATCACGCCGCTTGCACCACACAGCTTGCACCGTGTGCCTTGCACGACGCGGTTCGCATCACATTCGTTGCATCACACTGCTTTCACTTCTGAGGGCAATGACTCAGCGCTTGGGATCCAGGCTGGCAAATCAATGAGCAAACATTTACATACATACGACTAGATTCATCCATATTCATGGGGAGGGAATTACATATATATATATATATAAAGAGAGAGAGAGAGAGAGAGAGAGAGAAACAAAAAAAGAGAAAGAGAAAGAGAGAGAGAGAGAGAGAGACATGCGCCCATTCGGCCGGCATGACTTCCAAGACGGCCCGAGGGGCCCGAATATCGTCCCCAGGAGGCCCACGAGTGTCCCACCACAGCTCAAACACCCTCCCCGTGACGGCCCAAGAGGGCTCCAGCGCAGCACGCCCGAAGGCCCCAGATCGTCGAGCTTTCCCGCTCCATCCCTCTGCACGCCGAAGCCGCTGCCATCTGTAGGCTCCCCGCCCTCCCGACACCAAGGGCCCGAGGTGAGGGGCACGCCTCTCGTGCCAGATGCCTGGTGTACGTGGCTCGCGGGCCTGCGCCTTGGAGAGCCCATGGGTGGCCCTGGAGCCCCGCTGGCGGAGTCGACGCGCCCAGGAGAATGGAGGGGGAGGGGGCACAGGGGCCTGCCCCCTGCGGGGTGCTCCCGCTTTCGCCCATCAGCAGCAGCGCTCTCCTTCTCACTGGTCTCGAGCAGCAGTTTTTGGCCTGCGCTCCAGGGGGGGGGGTCCTCTTCAGCGCTCCTCGGCGCGGCGCTTCGACCGTCATGGCTTCTGGCGCAGCCCTGCTCGCCGAGTTCGTCGGGACGTTCATCTTGGTCTTCACCATTGGCTGCAATGTGATGACCTCAGTCAGCACGTGGGCTGGTAGTCAGGGCTCCCAAACTTGCTGCGACCCGTGCATTCCAGCTTCCTGCTCGCCTGCTCTCTTACTCTTGCTCCCCTCTTCTCCTCCGCCTGCCCTCCGCCCTCCCTGTCTCCTCTCTTCTATCCGTCTCCTCGTTTCTATCCCCTCCCCCTCCTCTCCCTCCTTCTCCTCCCCCTCCTCCCCCTCCTCCTCCTACTCCTCCTCCTCCTCGTTCCAGCATTCGTTGTGTCCCTCTCCTCGCTCCCTCCGCGGGGGGAGGGAAAGAGTAGACACGCGGTTTTGCCTGCGCCAACCAGGAGTGTCGATTGCTTGCTCCCTAATGGTTGCGATTTATGCCCTGGCGCCGATCTCCGGCGCAAACTTCAACCCCGCGGTGTCTGTCGCCCTCGGCCTGTCAAAGAAGTTGGACTGGAAGGACGTCGGCCTCTACTCGGTGACGCAGGTCCTTGCGGGGGCGTGTGCGGGCGTGGGCTACCGCTGCCTGTTCGGAGCCGGCTTCGAGCTCGAGCCTGTCACAGGCCTCCGAGGGGCAGCGCGCAGCACGCCCCCCCCCCCCCCCCCCCCCCCGCCTTGGCAGGGTCACGCTATAGGCTTCTCCCTTGACGGTGCTGGTGCCTACCAGGGGGTTGGGCGCAACCGACGCGACCAATTGGCGAGGGCTGGATACTTCGCGGCACGTGCAGCCGCACGTCTTTCCCGCCTTCGGCCTCAGTGTGTCCAGGCACGCTGGCCCCCAGCTCGTGGATCCCGCGCGCGGTTCGCGTATATATGTGTCGCATGAGAGCCCAGCCTCCGAAGGGGGGTCCTCGTCGCTGCGGCCCCGCGCTGAAACTTGCACGGGAAAGCGGCTCCTGGCGTCTACGGGGTCCTGGTGTATAATTACATTCTTCGTTGTTGCCCCGGGAAGCGGAAACGACAAGCAGACGCCACACCACCCCGACGTCGTCCCCGACCCTCGAAACGTCCTACAGGGGGCTTTTCGACGAAAAATGAAAAATACCACAACAATGCCCCAAAATGGCCAACAAACATATTCCCAAAATAGTCCCCAGACTATTTTTCATTATTTTTGAATTATGTTTGGGGTATTTCTTGTTCTTCGTCCAAAAAAACCCTGTAGGGGGACAGGCCCGAATTGACACTGGTCATGTACCTGGTGCCAGTCGCCGAGGGCCGGAGGGTGGGCCTCGGCGGCGGAGGTCCGGGAGGCTCGCCGGGGCTGCGCAGCTCTGGGCGTCGGAGACCTTAGGGTCATGTCGGGCGTGTCCCCCATACAGGGGGATTTTCGACGAAAAATGTTTAAAAAGTACCTCAGAAATGCTTCAAGATGGCAACAAAAATGCTCCAAAAATAGTCCCCAGACTATCTTTGGACCATTTGCGAATTATGTTTGGGGTATTTTTTGTTCTTCGTCCAAAAACTCCTTGTAGGGGGACAGGCCCGACTTGACGCTGGTCATGTAGCTGGTGCCAGTCGCCGAGGGCTGCGGAGGGTGGGCCTCGGCGGAGGTCCGGGAGGCTCGCGAGGGCTGCGCAGCCCTGGGCGTCGGAGACCTTAGGGTTCTGTCGGGCGGGTCCCCCTACAGGAGGATTTTCGACGAAAAATGAGAAATACCCCCCAAATTTTTCCAAAATGGTCAGAAAATGATACAAAACTCGTCCCCCGACTATTTCTGGATCTTTTTTTTATTATTTTTTGCGCATTTTTTATTTTTCGTCGAAAATCCCCATGTAGGGGGACAGGCCCGACTTAACCTTGGGGGGCCACGTGCGAACCCTGCCCTTACCCCCCACGATTCCTGAGGGGAGGGTGGGGCTCACTTCGCTCGGGTGAGCTCCCGAGCGAAGTGAACCCCACCCTCCCCCTCAGAGATCGTGGGGGGCAGGGCCAGGGTTCGAATGTGGCCCCCTGGACCTGGCCGTGCGCGTTCCCAGGTTCTGGAAAGGGCGCTGCTCTGCAGCCTCGGGCAGGCTCCCCTTGGCAGGGGCCTCCCGCCCCCCCGGCTGCCCTCCGAGACAGCGCGCCTGGCCGAGGCGGCGCCTGGCCGAGACGGCGTGCTCGTGGGTCCCGGCGTGCATGGAGTCCAGATCTCCAGCAGGGCCTCGCCGCGCCCCCCCCCCCCCCCCCTATATTCCCCCCCCCCATCTGCCCAGACAGCCGGCGCCCCGCTTCTCTCGACGCCGACGGCGACGACTGGGACAACGGCCGCGAAGAAGACGGCGGCCACTGGGACGACAACGACGACGACGACGACGACGACGACGACGGCGACGGCGACGGCGACGGCGACGAGGACGACGACGAGGACGACGACGATGACGACGACGACGACGACGACGACGTTGACGACGACGACGACGACGACGACGACGACGACGACGACGACGACGACGACGACGACGACGACGACGACGACGACGACGACGACGACGGCGTCGTTGTCGTTGTCGTCGTCGCTCCTCAGGGCCGCTTCTTCCTCCTGGGTCATTCGTTGACGGCCCTGGGGCCCGTGGAGGGCCTTCCCCCCGAGGTCGAACACGGCAGCAACGCACAAGACGACGGCCGCTCCAATTTTGGGGGAAACGCCGACGCTGTTTGCCCAGACACAGAGGGAGAGAGAGACACAGAGAGAGAGAGAGTCTTGGACTTTGACGGTCCGGTTTTCGCGGGACGTCTGCAGCGGGAGTTCGCGTCGAATCTCAGATTGGACCTCGTCGTTTTCATGGTGGCTCCGCCAGACCAGCCCCAAGTCGGGCCTGTCCCCCTACAGGGGGAATACTCAAAGTAGTCAACCAGTAGTCTGGGGACGATTTTTTTTATGTTTTTTTGAGCATCGCTTGTTTGGAATATTTCTCATTCTTCGCCCAACATCTCCCTGCAGGGGGACAGGCCCGACCTAAGGCCAGCCCGAGAGTCCCCCGCACCCGAGGTTTTCGAGCCTTTCGATGAGGGCTCCACAGCGCGTGCACCGCGCGCCGTAGCCCTTAGTCCGTCGTCCTGTTCTAGTCGACGAAGGTGTCATCCCTGTCTTTGCGTTGGGCCCCCTCCCTGCGGCTCGCGAGCTAGGGGGGCCCAACATTCTCTCCAGCGTCTCTGCGTGGGGCCCCCCTCCCCTTTGGCTCGCGAGCTGAAGGGGGGCTCCACCTTCCGCACCCGAGCCTCCTCCGCCAGGGTGTGTTCGCGGCTCGGCCTGCTCGGCTGCGCCGCAGGTCGCTTTTGCTCTCGGTCGGGGCTGCTCGGTCGGTCACCGTGTCGTCTTGGCATCGCTCGGACGTGTGCATTTTTTCTCGGCGAGGACCATCGAGGAGCATCCTGGATCGTCGAGCGAGAAAAACACCCACGAAACCGAACAAAGCACAGGGTATGGACGTCCGAGCGACGGCTCGGCTGCGCCGCGGGTCGCTTCTGCTCTCGGTCGGTGCTGCTCGGTCGGTCGCCGTGTCGTTGCCGCGGCTCTGCACGAACGCAATGGGCACTCCAGATTTCGTAATAAAAGGGAGGGGGTCTGGACCCTCCAAGACAAGCCATTTCAGACCTCCCCCCGTGGGAGAACCCTCCAAAACATCGTCCCCAGACCCCCCAGGCCCTCCAAGATAGCCTGGAAGAGACCCCCCCCGAAATGAGACCCCCTCCCTTTTATTACGAAATCTGGAGTGCGGAAAGGATGGGTACAATGCCCAACGGCAGTTCCTGTTCATTTCGAACGGGTCTCGCTGTCCGCGCCGCCGCGGCCTGTGTCCATTTGAGACAGCAGGCCGCCCGCCCAACAGCGGCCGCTGTCGGTCTGGGACAACATGTGTTGTGTGGCATTGTACCCATTCTTTCCGTACCCATTTCGGGCGTCCAAGGTCGTTGCCGCGGCCGCGTCGCTGCGCGAGGACCATCGGAGAGCATCCTGGATCATCGATGAAGCAAAGCTTGAGAAGCAGGATTGGCCGGGCGCAGCAGATGTTGACGCAGAGGACACGCTGCCTCCAGACATGCCCCCATCCCGTGGCTCTGGCCTCAAAACTACCCTGTGTCGTGGCCGCGGCCGCGCCGTCGGCTTTCGCCGTCGGCTCCTTGCCGTGCGCATGCCCTGGGCGTGCCCTCGCCGTGAACACGTCGGGGGCGGAAAAGAGGGGGGTGATGACTAGGGGGGGGGTTGGATATCATGGCGTGGGCCATGAGATGTGCCCAGATCTCATGGCGCCCCCTCTTGTTTCAGTGCGTCCCTGGCCCCCCCGCCGGGCCGCGCACGTGCCGCCGGTCATGATTTGCACCCCCCCCCCCTCTGGGACACCCCCCCCTCTGGGACACCCCGCCGGGCCGCGCACGTGACGCCGGTCATGATTTGCACCCCCCCCCTCTGGGACACACCCCTCTTGGCCGCTCCCCCGAGAGTACGTCGGGGCGCGAGGCGTGCGGCCGACGTCGGCCTCCGGGGGCCCTCGCTGAGCCCCATGGGCCGCAGAAGAACGCTGCGCGATGTGGAGAGCAGGCCCCCCGACAGGGGGAGCTCGGGCGAAAAACTAAACTTACCCCAGACATAATTCCAAAACTGTCCAAAAATAGTATGGGGACTTAAAAAAAAAATGGACGAAAAAATAGAACTACCCCAGAGATGCCCTAGAAAAAAAAGAGGCCCCAGGCAAAGGGTCCGGACGTCCGGCGACCCCTGGTGGGAAAAGAAGCATCGCCTTTTTGGCCATTCGCGATCACGCCTGTATTAAGGCGGGCATGTCCCCCTACCGGGGGATCTTCGATGAAACATTAAAAATACTCAACACATTTCCCCAAATGGTCAAAATATATGCAACAAATAGTCCCCACGTTATCTTTAAAACTATTTTCGAATTTCCCCCCTGTAGAGGGACAGGCCTGACTTAACGCCTGTATCGCCCTCCCACTTGGTCACATCGCGATTTCGGCCGGCGGCTCCTGGGAACGAGCCATTCTTAGGCGCTTTCCCAGACGGCGCTGGCGCGAATCGCACCCCCCGACGTCATCCTTATAGGAATTGTTGACGCTTCGCGAATCCCCATCAGCCCATCCATAAACGATGCCCAGAGGAATTGCCTCGATCAGGGAAGTGGGCAGCACACAGAGGAAGCCATTATGAGACATCTTGGGATATCTTGAGCCATCTTGGAGGTCATCTTGGGCTCTCCCAGGCGCTCTTGGAGTCATCTTAATCAGTGCCCCCCCAAGAGGCCAACATGTGGCTAAAACCTTGGTAGAATCAATGCTTTGGCATTCTCGCCGGGGCCTCTTGGAGCATCTTGGGTGCCTCTGGGGGGTCTCTTGGGGCCTCTTGGGGGTCTCTTGGGAGCCTCTTCCTGGCCACCTCTTGGGGTCCTCTTGGGGCACCCTTGGGAGCCTTGGAGGTCATCGTTGGGCCATCTTGGGGGAGATCGATCACAGGAAGGGGGGGGGTCTAATTAGCGCCCCCCCCAGGAGGCCAAAATGGGGCCAAAACCATTGTAAAACCAATGATTTTGGCTTCCTCGCCGAGGCCGTTTTCGACGCTCCGACGACT